GAGCTACGCCAGCCAGGGCAGAATGTGCATTTCTTAATCCATTTACATATGGCAGAAAGTTCACCTTGAAATCGACCTCTAGCTTTTGCTCTCCGTATTTGATGATCTTTATATGGGCTTTTAAAATGAGAACTAGGATACAGCCTTTACAACCAGTCGACCTTTGTCCTTCTAACCTTGAGGTTTAAGTGTCACTTCTTTAAAATAAATAAAGTGACAGACTTCTTACGGCTCAAACACAGAGCCACTCGAATCGTACTATAGATAATAGAGAGCAATTATTTGAGATGTGAATGGTGGCATTTTATTAACAAATCAGAGGATCAGAGAATGTCTCTGTCGCCTGCCGAGTCAGGGTTTGTCCCGGGCGAATGCGCAGGAAATGACGGGGGTGGCGCCGGGCGAAGGGCCCCCACCGGATTCCGCTGCGTGTGATTCATGTTGTTTAGGGAACCCCTCACGGCCCACTCCCCCCAGCCCCCTCGCTCCTTCCCCGCAGGTACCATAACAGCGCCCGCATTTCTGAAACGAGTCTCAGCCTAAGTAAACGTCAGTCAAATTCACCATGAATTTGTGAATCACAAGTTCAGTGCGTCACTCCACGTCGCCCTGTATTAGGTGCCTCTTGCTGTCTCTGAACTCATCACAAACGTAGCGGCTTAAAGCAACGCACACTGACCATCTCGTGGTTTCCGTGGGTCAGGGGTCTGGACGTGGCTGGGCTGGGCCCCCCTCGCAGGGCCCCGCACGGCTGCACCCCAGGCGTCGGTGGGGCTGCGTCCCCGCCTGGAGGCCTGACTGGGGAGCGTCAGCTGCCAAGCGCCCTCCGCGGAGCTGGCGGGGCTGACGCTGTGACCGGAGCACCGGGCGGGCTGCTGCTTTCCTGCGTCCTGGGCCGGCATGCGTGTCCTCCCAGAGGGCGTCTCCTCTGCGGGAGTGGTGCGTGCGGCCGTGATTCGGTGCCAGAGGCGGCTCACCTGAGCGGTGGCTGAGTTCCGGGGGTCCGTCCCCCGCATCCAGCGGGTCCTTCGTGGGCTGAGGCTGGGCAGCATCCCCCGGATGGAGCGCAGGTTTCCCAGCACAGCTGATACATGTGCCAGGAGTCAGGCCCGGCCCGGCCCCAGCCTCTCCCTCCACAGACGCCTGTTTCTGGGAACTCTGGGGTAAAGCGACAGGTTAAAGAGGTACAGACCAGGGCCGCGGCTAAGCTGTAGGGTTCCAGCATGTGGAGTTGCCCAAAGACTGCAACGAGGAGTCCCGGCGTTGGGGAGTTTGAGCGGAGGCCGGATCTGGGTTCTTTAGACCGGGGGTGGGGGGTGGGGGGGGTACTACAGTGCGACACCGTCCACGGGGTCTCCTGGGCCTCCGTTCCAGGGGTCCCCCGCCCTTCGCGACGGGAGAGGCGCAGCCCCTCCTCTCGGCACTAGATGGCGACCAGGCACCAGCACAGCTGAACAAGGAGACCAGGGGCCTCCGGCTCTGGGCTTGGCTGGTCCGCCCCCACCCCAGGGACCCCGAGAGGCGGCACCGTCATCCTGAGGGCTGCATGTGGGCAGGAGACCTGAGGATCACACTCCTTGCTCCGGCCGCAGCTGAGGCTGTGGGGAGCCGGTGGCCAGGGAGGCGGGAGCAGGAGTGGGCAGGGGTGCTGAGCGCAGCCGGCGAGGAGCATGCTGTCCGGGTCGCCCTGGCTCGCCCAGGCGGCTCGTCAGGGTGCTTAACGGGGACACCACCCATTCAGCTGCTTTAAACACCTTCCGTATATTGACCTGTGTAATCCTCCCGCTGACACCGCGGGCTAGGGCTGTCATCCCCGTCATTTTACAGATGGGGAAACTGAGGCAGGTTGGGGGTCCCACGGCGGGATGAGGGGGTCCCGTGGCGGGGTGAGGGGTCCGTGGAGGGATGAGGGGGTCCCACAGCAAGATGAGGGGGTCCCGTGGAGGGATGAGGAGGAACGTACGGTTTTGGTTCTCCAGAATCAGTGTTTCCTGCACAAGAGTCTCGACCCTCCCGGTCCCGGCCTCAGGGGCAGGAGCCTCCCGCAGTTGGGCCCCTCTGTGCCTCGGGGGCCGATGCCGGGCTCCGGTCTGCTCTGAGGGAGCCCCGGAGACTTGAAACCGTGCCCCGGAGTGGGCCGTCTTCAGGGCCAACTCTGCGCCGTCGTGGAGTAACTTCTGACAGCCAGGAGAGACCCCGCGGCACCTGGTTGATTCACACAGTGGCCTGCTCCGTGGCTCCCGCTGCCCAGATCGAACTTCTAGAACGTCCTTCCGTGAACAGGGCTGACGACGGTCGTCTTTTAATTTCCCACCAGTGACTCGGGGGTAACTCGGATTATTGGACTAGGTCGGGGCTACGGAACTCACTCGAGACTGGAAGCATTTCCTCGGGAGCTCTGGAGATCACGTTTCAAAAGGCCAGAAATAACCGTGACCGTGGCCCATTTCCGTGGAGTCAACCATCGTGGAAGAGATCACACAGCCAGTGTTTACCTGCCGGGCAGCAGAACAGCGACCCTGCAATTAATTATTTAAGCGATAGCATCGCTGAGAGTTGCTTAAGTGGTGTGTACGGTGCTTTGCCATGGCAACCACTCTTGTTCTGAATATCATTAAGACTCTATCACACCGCAGGCGTGGACTTGTGGTCTGTAGCTGTGCCGGGCCAGCAGCCTCTGAGACAGCGTCCCCCGACCTGCTGCTAGGATTCCCGTGGGCGCTGAGGGAGCTGTGAGTGCGGCCATGTGGGCACGGCCGTGTGGGCGGGGCAGTGTGGCTGGGGCTGGCTGGAGGCGGCACCCATGGGCGGAGCGATCCTGCCACCATGAGGGCCAGCTGTGTGTGTCCAGGGACGGATAAGACGCTGTTTCTTACACAGGGTATGAGTGTCCGGCGGCTGCTGTAACAGATTACCCAAACGGAGCGGCTTCAAACAGCGGGAATGTGTAGGGTTGTGGCTCTGGGGGGCGGAAGTCTGAACACTAGGCCTGTACACCTGGCTCCTTCCGGAGTCCAGAGGCACGCCTGTGCATCCTCCTTCTCCGGCTGGGACCCTCCTGTCTCCCTCTTATAAGGACTCCTGTGCTTCCACTGGCCCACCCTAATAATCCACGTGAATCTCTCCAACTCAAAACCCTTCACCACAGTCTCATCGGCAAAGACCCCTTTTGCCATTTAGGGTTCCATACTCACAGCTCTTGGGGATTAGGATGTGGGCATCTCTGGCTTGGGGCACTGATCAGCCTGCAAATGATAGCTTCACATCTCCTGCTCTGGGACCGGGGCTCTGTGGGGTGCAGCCCGGCAGGGGGCACTAACGGCCCCCCTGCAACCGGTCCAGTCCCCTGCCTCTGGGTTCTTCCTCCTCCTCCCACACCCCTGACGCTGTCTTGAGCTCCCCGACCTGCCTGGTGCTTCTATATCCTTGTAGACGCTGTCCCCACGCCCCTTCCACACTGGGGGACGCACACTGCATCCCAGAATCCTCTGGCTCTGCGCCCCAGCCCCGCCCAAGCCCTGCCCCATGGGGACCCAATGTCATGGCAAAAAAAGAGGAGTCCACGTGTCTTCTCGGGCTAATGAATCACGCCTCTGTCCCTCCAAAGTCGCACGTAAAAGATGTGTAACTGTCCCATGCTAAATAGGACACTCTCCGTGACTTCTCGGGAGTCACTTCGGCCTCTGCTATCTTATTTTGATTTCAAAGGCATAATCGATTTCATCGAGAGCTCGAGGGACCGCCTGCCGCCGGGGCACAGACGCCTGCAGGTGACATGCGAACAGTGACCCTCCGAGGCCTCCTTGCTGATTACCAAAGCGTTTCCAAATGGCCTCGCCCCTCAGGGGTCCTCGGAGGACGCTGGGTTGCAAAAGGGCAAAGCTCTCGGGCTCCAGGGGTCTGGCTTCGGGCTGTGATACGGCGCGAGCTTCTGCGCAGGACACCCGAGGGGGACGCAGCGACGGAGCCGGGCGCGGGCCAGCAGCCCCAGTGGTCATAGGGCTGACTTCTCCATTGGGCACAAGGGGTCCCACGGTTCTTTGAGGGGCTCACTCCCATTGCTTTTCAACTCAGAAGAACAAAACAGGCTTCCTCACACCAGGGATAAATGAAAAACTTCAGGGCCTGCATTCGTTTGCGGGGGATGTCGTACTCCAATACCGCCGTCCGGGTGGCTCCAACAACGGAAGTGTACTTTCTCACCGTCCGCCAGGCTGGGAGTCCGAGATCAAGGTGCTGGCGGGGCCGGCTGTCTCGGGGGCCTCTCCCCTTGGCTTGGGGCTGGCTGTCTTCTTGCTGGCACTTCACGTGACGCTCACTCTGTCCGTGCACCTTGGGGTCCCTTGCCGCGTCCCACTTCCTTCCTGTAAAGACGCCCCTGAGATTGGATTAGGGACGCCCTCAAGGCCTCAGTGTAACTGAATTGTCTTCCTAACGGCCCTGCCTCCAAATACGGGGGCACATTCCAGGGATCGGGGGCTTGGGACTTCAACACATGAACTTTGGGGGTCGCAGTTCAGCCATGACGGAGCCCACAAGAACCTAGTAGGGTGAGAGAGACCTAAAAGGCAAAGAGGCCCACGGCAGCCACGGCAGCAGGCTGACTGGACCCCCCCCCCACCGAGGCGGGGAAGGGGGAGGCACTCCAGAACGATCCCGCGGACCTGCAGCTGTGGTCCCGACGCCTCCGCCCCCGGAGCTGCTCCTTCAGCTGAGGCTTCAAGGCAGAATGCACAGAGCATGTCACAACACTTCTTATCTAACTTTCTTTTTAAGAGAGCTTCCTGTCTGCCAGGTCTTCGATAAAGAGAATTTTTATGCCCTGGATTCTTTTCTACAAAACTATAAAGAGCTGTGCTCGACCCTTTGCTGAACTTACCAGAAAACGGTCCCTGTGCTTTCCCTGGCCTGTGGCTCAGGGACTCCGGGGCCGGGGGTGGGGGGGGCCAGGCCCCAAAACTGACTCACCAGGGACGGGGAGACCACATCCTGTCTCCGATTTCTGTTTCTCATTTACGGGCGGCTGTGCGTGTCACAGAGCTGTGCAAACATCAATCACGCCGGCCAACACCCAGGGAGACTTTCTAACGTGGAGGAGCGCGGGCCGTTCCCCAGGTCGGCGAAGGCCATCCAGAAGGTCAATGTCAGAGGAAGACCCGACCACTCTGCCTGGAGGAGGAACCTACTGCGTGGCCCCGGCGTTCATGTGGGGGCTCAGGGGAGTCCCTTGTCCCCACCTTCCGGGCAGGGTGTGCGGGGAGTGTCCTCGCCGATCCCAGCAGGGCCGAGATGCTTCTCAGGACTGTCGGGGGCAAGAGAGGAGCCTTGGGAGAAAATTCTGTCGCTACACGCCAAGTGTCCTACTTGTGACTTGTTATGCCACCTTTTCACGTCCTAACGTGTTTCCTCCGTTCAGGTGCTGGCCCTGCTGCCGGGAATGGGCGGGGTCTGGCTGGACGTCTCGGGGTCCCACCAGGCTCTGCGGTCCCCGTGGCTGGGCGGGACCGGGCATCCTTCTGCGGCCCAGTGACCACACAGACCCCGAGAAGCCGCAGGCCATGGGCCAGCATCGCTGAGGCGTTCGAGGTTCCTTCTTCCCAGGTCAGCTCTGTGGGAAAAAGCAGCTTAACCCGGACCCGGGGGGGGGCCCCCTGGTTGGCCGTGACCTCTAACAAACAAGCCGTTACAGAGAAACCTCTTGAGACTAGTAAATAATTAACACAGGTTCTCGGAGCTGCTCGGCAAAGCACTTGCAGAGCATCTAACTGCTAACGGTAAATGTTAATCACCACCTTTTGATTACAGACTCAGATAATGAGATCAAAGAGGCAGGAAGTCCTAATTCACACTCTTGCTTTCCCAGAGAGTGGGGTTGGAAGGGAGTCGTCGTGCCCTTCCCTCGCGGGCTCCCCCGTGTGTCCGCCGTGACGTGCAGGGAGAGTCCGGCGACGACGCAGTGCCCAGCGTGCGGGCACAGGTCGGCCCTCCACGCCCAGACCTGGGAGGTTATGTGGGGTGAACGTGTGTTTAGAATAAGCCTGGTTACTCTCTCTCTCTCTCTCTCTCTCTCTCTGGAAGCTGAAGTTCAGCGCCGCTGCCAGATTAATCATTACACTTGGCATTTCTGAGTCTGACTCAGTTCTGAGTTTGGGTGCGCTAACAGGAAGCTGTTAAGGGAGAGCCCGATACGGAGTCCAACCTCGGCACTGCAGCCAGGCCCAGCTCCTTTGAAGTGGCCGGTAACGGGGTTCGGGGGCCCCGTCGTCTGCTTCCCACGCTCTCGGGCCCCCCCTTGTTCTCTCGTCTGGTTCCTGGAGCAGCCTCACCGACTCCTCGCAAGGGCAAGTTCATGAGGAGAAAGAGAGGAGAGCGTGTTTCCTCTGGGGGGGCGGGGCGGAGGTGGGTAGGTCAGGCCGAGATTCCAGTCCCCCAAGCTCCGGGCCTCCCGTGCAACACCCACCTGCTTCCGGACAGTCTGTGTAGATGGGGCCATGCGGCAGGTGGCCTTTTAGGTCTGGCTTCCTTTGCTTAGCTTGACGTTTTCGAGTTCATCTCCATGGTAACATTATCAGGCCTTGGTCGGCTGCCTTGGCCGTGATCTACCCTGTTCCTCACCACAACAAACAGGTGCCACCAAGGACCCCTGCCCCTGTCCCCCCGCCCCCGCCCCGCTGGGGGTTTGTAAATGCTTTCATAGGCCTGCACAAGCTCCCATAGTTTCTTGCTGCGGTCACACTTCTGTGACAATTAGTGCCCAGGGCTGTAGACAGATGGCTGGGTCCACTGTCCTCTGTGCGCTCTTTGATGGCCGTCAGGGGTGATCGGGGCTCCCACCAGTTTTCTGGTCGGGGGTCAGACTCTGCCCAGAGCCGGCCCGGTCGGAGGGAGCCTGCTCTGCGCGTGTGCGGTGGCTGTGGCCCCAGGGAGTGTGGATTCTCCCCACTGGTGGGCGGCGGCGCCTTCCCTAAGCTCAGGCCTGCAGCCCCCTCCCTGACCCGCCTTCTGAAGACTGTTGACAAGACGAGACTGATTCGTCCTGGATTTGTACTCCTGGCGGGGGGGGGGGGGGGTCTGTGCCATGCCAGGACCCATGCTTGACCTTGAAAGATTTAGACATTTTGTGGTTTCAATTGCCCCGAGACAGATGAGACCCTGGGGGACCGATTTATGCTAACCGCATTCACGAGAGATGGATTTACAACCTGGGTCGAAATCTGGTTCACTTACGCTGGGGTTTGTATCGGACAGGGCGGGCTGGCTGGGCTGCCACGATCACCCCAAAACTCGGGCTCAGCCACAGAGCTTTCGTTCCCGCGGGAGCCGAGGCCACTTGGGGCCCCAGCCACGTCCAGGGCTGCTGGCCTCCCCGCAGCGACCCGGTGCGGCACCTCCCTGTAGCCACACCCGTGGGCCGGGAAAAGGCGCTCTGGGGGGTCTCCCTGCTGCCGTTTCTGCGCTTCCCCGAAGCAACACACGCCACCTCCACGCACAGCTCGTTGGCTGAGAAAGTCGCGCCACCGTGTCCCGTCTCCAGGGGAGGGGAAGACAGTTCCGGGAGGGCCGGGAAGGACGAGAACGGGACTGTCGGAGAGGACCACGGGTGCCCACAGAGGGGCCCGCCTTTTCTAGCGACGAGCACCCCCGCGTCGATTCCCTCTCGGCGCTAATGCCCCTGAGAGATCTGAACGTGCAGCTGTTGTTGGGACAGTAACTAAAATCCAGTAATGCCCCTAATGGCATTTGCCTACTTTATACATGATGTTGCGTAGCGCGGACCGTTTGAATGAGACCAGTGAGCCCTCTTTGCGCCTGTGCTGACTTGGTTGGAAGGTCAGATTCTCTGTGGCCGTCGGAAACGGGTCTCCTTCGGCCTTTCGTTTCTGGGCGCCTCACTGCGCGGGGTGCTTCCTAGCGAGCACTTGGTAATGGATTTAATTGTTACTGTATCTGTCTGTCGTGCACATGGATGGATAAATAAACGGATAGATTGATACAGATATAGATATAGATACAGCTTATGTGTGTATGTGGGTATGTATATGTGCGTATTATATTTGTAAGTATCTACAATCATCAATGATTAATTCCACAGTCAGTTTCAGCGAGGTTTCTTCTTATTTTTCCTGTGACATTTTGGAAGCATGCTGGTTCCCCTGATTGCACTTGAGAGACGCACTAGTGTCACCAGGAAGACACTTGTCCCAGCTCACCCCCGGATTCTGGAGGAAACCCAGCGGTGGCGACACTTGCACGGGTCACAGCCGCGAGTACCGAAGGTCTCACATGCCTGAATGACGGCGTCATCCCAGGACTTCCTGTGGCTCCGTCTGGGGGGGGGTCTCCCTCTAACTACAGAACACAGCAGTTTTGATGTCTTTATCTAGTTTATTCATAACTATCTCAACAGATGGTACTCAGGAAACTTTCTTCATTGATAATTTTGTGGCTAAACGCAGAGAGTCAAGTCCCTTTTAGGTAGCTTACATTACCATATATTTTCCCTAATTGTATTTCATTAATCTCTTTTATGCCTGATTGCGCCACAGCGGGCTACTCCCCCTCACTTTGATATGTAAACATTTCAAAAGTTTTTGATGTTCGTTGACTCTGCCCGGGGCCTTCCCTTTGCCACACGGAGCACCATTAAGGGTAAGTTAACGCGCACACACTCAGGAGACACGAGCAACCCCAGATGCCCACCTTTTCCTTGAACTGATGGTAGATGAAAGGTTCCTGCAAATAAGCGACCGTTTTCTTTACAGCCTGTGCTCCGGCCTCAGCCTTTACCGGGAATCCAAAGGCTGGCTGAAGTTCAACCCTTGGTCGCTGGTCGGAACTTTCACCCCAAAAGTCTGGAGCTTCACACTCGACAGATTTCCTTGGCAAACTGCTCGTTTTTCTTCAGGGTGAGAATTATAACGCGAGAACACTTCTCGCTTCCCCCAGGTGCCCGGGGGTGGGTTTCGGTGGGGCAGTGGGAGACGCCCCCTCCCCCCCACTGGCTCCGCCCCCTTCTCCCAGGGGTGGTTTCCTGGGGCCGTGGCCGGTGACAGCGGCTTCTCTCAACATCCCTTGCTGTCATCGCCTGTCACGGCAGCGCGCTCACGGTGCAGGCGATAGAGCCGACTTTCCGTCAGTCTGTGGCGAGTCCTCCCGGCAACCGCACCTGTGGCTGTGGCGCCCCCAGGTGTCCGGGGCAGGTGGCGTCCTCAGTGGTTCTGGGAGGTGCAGGTGCTCCTGGCAACGCAAAGAGAAGCTTTCCGCCTGCGAGACATCCTTCTCCTAATGAAGGTTACATCCCCCTAATGTGGACACGTGGACGGGCTTAAAAATAGCACCGGCAGAGCCTCCCACCTTCGTCTTGTCCGCTCTCGCACCCTGAATGAGAGCCGCTGCACTCGGAACTGACAGGCAGAGGAGGTGTCCTTTCAGAAACAATGGGCCCCATGGGCCCTGTGACAAACGGTGGTGGCTTCACTTTCCGCGGCCCTGTCATCCGAACTGTTCCCAATCGTCGTCGGGAGGAGCCGTGGACGCCCTTGTTTCCAATCTCTGGATCCGATCGCAAGGCAAAGCCTCCAGGGAAGGAGTGTCCTAGAAACAGCGGAGCTCCGCCTTCCGGGGCGAGACTGCGGGAGGGAGCCGGCGGTTTGAACAGTCTCGCTGTGCAGAGATCACCTGCCACTGACCGTTGTCCCAAAGGTGGGAAGACGCCCCACACCCCCATGGAGTGGGAGAGGGGGGCCCTCATGTCGAAGGGCAGCAGCCGGCTCCTTCCCCTGACTCAGCGTGGGGACACCGGCCCCTTGGAGCCCGTACCCTTGACCCCCCCCCGACCCCCACTGACCCTCACCGTAGAAACACGCGTGTGCCACACCTACCTGGTGTTGCTCTACCTTCAGCAAGAAAGAAGAAGGCTCCCTTTTAGTAGAACGCTACGAATGTTTCAGTTAAAACAGGGAGCAAGCATAGGCAATGAATGCCCCCCATCCCCCGTTTTAAATCAGGAAAGGAATCCCAAAGCGAGGAAAAAGCTTCAGCCCCGAAAACCAGGACGGGGGCACTTGACCAGCGCGCCGCGAACAGACCCCTCGCCGAGTGTCGCGCACGGGAAATCCGATGGAGGGTGTGGGGCGCGGCGCCTGACCTGTGGGCATCACTCTTCCTGGGAAGCCGGCTCGGGGCCCATCTGCAGGTGGCCCGGGCTGAAGAGAGGAGAGATGGTGGGGCGGGAGGAAGGGTGCGAACTGGTGGGAAGCCTCCCTCCCTCCTAGCGCGCTCCCTGGAGCGGGCCGGCAGAGCACAGGGCCCCTGGAGGCCCTCGTCACCACAGCGTCTCCGTGTGCAGGCAGGGACACCGGACACCGTGGCCCTGTCCCCTCCAGGTGCCGACAACAGGCTCCACAGCGGCTGGAGAGGTGGCCAGTGACGTGGCCTTCCTCAGCAAAGACACTCTTGGGTGCGGCCCCTCGACCCCTCGCAGAGACGTGACCTCTGACCTTCCCCTCCTCTGGGCTCAGGCCCTGTCAGCGACTCCCCCATCTCTTCTGGAAGCCAGCTCCACTGCCAGCGGGACCCGTCTGCGTCTGTGTGCGAAGGAAACTGAGAAAAACAATGGGACGTTCGAAGAGGGAGGGTGGTCCCAAGCGGGATCCATCCAGGGCCTCAGAGCCAGCACCATCCTCACTGGGACCCCTCACTCCTGGTGGGCACGAGCAAGGCCCCTGGACCCCCAGAGAGCGCTCCGGCGCTGCCCCGGCCGGTACCCCCCGCGGGCGCCGGACCCGTGCGCACAGGATGACGCAGGGCAGGGAGCTGCGGTTCCGGGCGAAGAGAGCCGCCGCTGATGAGGAGGAGAAAGAGTCAGCCGAAGCAGACACTTTAGACCGGACGCTCCAAAATTCTCGGAGGGCAAGCGCACCGAGATGCACGAGAAAAGCAACGTTCACTGGAAAAATAACCGAGAGGGACATGTGCGGGGATCCGTCGGGGAAAGGGAGGACAGGCCCAGGGGCTCCGTCACGCCCGTCGCCGGAGCGCACACAACCGCAGAGGCCAGGGTCGTAACAGGGTTGTCCGTAATAGGAGACACCTCACGCTTTCACACTTTCAGAGTCTTTGTCGCTAATGCGGTTCTGAATCCTCTTTCGTTCATTATGGTCTTTCTCTTTTTATTGAATCTACTGGGGCGACGTGGGTTAATAAAACGATACAGGGTTCAAGTGTGCAGTTCCGTGACACACCATCCGTGACACACCATCCGTGCACTGTGCTGTGTGCTCGCCTTGCCACCCCCGGTCACGTCTCCTCCCGTCACCGCTTACCCCCACCCCCCTCCCTCGGGTGGCCACCACACTGCTGACCGTGTCTATGAGGGGTTTTGGTCTCTGTGTTTTGCTGAATCCCTCCACCTGTAGTTTGTCCTCCTCGCCTCTCCTTTTTTTTGTTTGATCAGCCTGGTCAAAGACGGGCTCTCGCAGGCTTTCCTGAAGTTGCCCGTCACGCCCACCCCCTGGAACGTTCGCCAGGAACACAGACCCCAGGGCCTGTCCTTAAATGTTCCGGGTCTGAGTCTGGGGAGGTTGGGCACCTGGACATTTAATTTTACCAGGCACCAGAGGTGCTCTCAGGGCTGTGTGAGTTTAGGGGACTGGCATATTGCTACGGCCTTTTCAAATCATTAATGTTTGGACTTATTTAACACTTCGTGTTTTGAAATTCATAAATGTCTAGTTTTGCCTTTATTATTTCTCCTCGGTGTTTTGCTTCTTTTCCCTTTATCCAGAGTCTTAAGATAAATTCTTACTTTATTCATATTTTTCTCTTTTCTTTGCCATGTGGTAAACACTTTTTAAAACACAGACTTCAATTCCATGATTTTTGATAAACAGTATTTGAATAGGTATTATTCCCTAAGCAGATTATAAGGCAAGTTGATTCCTTTTATTAATGAAAACATTATTTAATTTTTTTCACTTAGTTTTTGTTTATCTTCTAAAATTAAAAAAATATATTTCAGTGATACTAAAGACCTTCAGGGCTATAACCAATTAGAGAAAAAATACAATCAATCTTGACATCTGATCAAAACTGTGAAGTTATTGATGTGAGTGTACAAATATGGATTTAGACCAGGGCTTCTCACCCTGGACACCCCTGACAGTTCAGACGAGACAGTTCTCTGCAGCGACACCTGCCCTGTGGGTTGTAGGGTGGTTGACCCCCTCCCTGGCCTCTACCCGGGTGCCAGTGTAAATATCACCGACCCCCAACTTGCCCAAGACCGTCTCCTGGGAGATAACATCATCCCGGTTGGAAACCACGGCGCTAGAGAAAGGGACTGCTCCCCTGGCTCAAGGGTGAGCTTAAAACCTGCAGGTTGTACACGCACCTTCACCCGTTTCAATATGCTCTCCCGGCCAGGGTCACTCCCCTGGGCTTTGGAAGGGGGAGGGAGGAGGCTGCTGCGAAAAGCACACGGTCACGTCCTTTCATCGGTTCCTCGGTCCCCTTCCTCCGTCCGGCGGGGCTCACAGCCCCTGTTCCTCGAGTCTGTAGGACAATGTTGTTAAAACGCCAGCAAAAGCAGCTGGAACGGTGGCTGTCAGGTATGCAGCAGGGCCTTAGTGCATCTTAGTATTTATTGTACGCCACCGAGTGGCGGGCATTTTAATCTCCCTTTGCAGTCAATAAATTGAGGCCACAGAGGTTAAGGAGATGGCCCGTCATTGGAGATGTACTGAAGACCTGGTGGCGTGGAAACAGGACCCTGGGGACCTGGTTCTCACGTGACCGACCGCTCTGGGTTCTTACTTAGGGTGGGGGCCGGGTAGCTGTCTGATGTGCCCTCTCCCCAGCTCCCATAAAATTGTCCACAAAATTTGTAGGACTTCCCTGCTCTGTGTAATAAGAATATCAACGAATAAATTGTCAATGAGAAATTTCTCCAGATGCCGTTTTTTCCTCCTTGTCATTTTTCATTTAATTTCATGCTGTCTACGTGTTGTTGTGTGAAAGATAAGAAAGCAAGGTGAATGAGAAAATCTTCATGCTACTTGATCCACTAATTTTTTTCAGATAACAAGCTATTCTGATGAAATGCAAGGGCAGCCATTTTGCAATAAAATGTTTATTGCGGTGTTCTGTGTAACAGCAAAACCTTTAGGAAATACGAATCTCCAAGATAAGGTAGTGGGTTACTAATTATAATTCAGCCACACAATGAATTATTATAAACTGTATTTAGCCCCGGCAGGGTAGCTCGGTCAGAGCAGCATGCCGACACACCAGGGCTGCAGTTTGGTCCGCGGTTGGGGAACGTGTAAGAAGCGACTGGTGCATGCACAAATAAGTGGAACACCACACTGATGCTTCTCTCTCTCTCTAAACATCAGTGAATTTAAAAAAAAACTCTAAAAGCTGTTTGGAATTATGCTTCTAAAGCTATTTTACTAGCTTTTAAAGATGTATGTCAGTTGTAAACATACAACCACCGTACTAAATATGAACAAATGTGAAAACAAGAATCCAGTGACTATTCCAGAAAGAACGGCCAGCACCCCCGTCAACAGTGGATTTAATTGGTTGTTGTCCACCGCAGACAGCCTGGTAGCCAGTGAGTGTCTGGCTTCTTCAGCGGCTTTTCTTTGATTGTGAATGAAGTCGAACCACTTCCGATGGCCCGTTTGTGGTGATTCTGTTGTGAAGTGACTTCTTAAGTCATTTAAGCAATTTGTATTGTGAGTCTTCTTTGCATATTAACCCATCACCTGCCGGGTCGGTTGCAAACATTTTATTCCTTTTTGTCGTTTTTTCTTTCAGCTCTGACTCATGATCTCTTACCCTTGACCTTAGCCAAAAGGCCAAGAAACGACAACTCCTGGTTTCTTTCTTTTTAAATTATGTTATTGCTGTTCAATTACAGTTGTCTGCATTTTCCTCCCACCCAGCCAAACCCCCTCCCTCCCTTGCTTCCACCCTCCCCCTTGGTTTTGTTCATGTGTCCTTTACAGTAGTCCCTGAAAACCCTTCCCCCCACTGTCCCCTCCCCCGTCCCCTCTGATTATTGTTAGATTGTCCTTAATTTCAATGTCTCTGGTTCTATTTTGTTGGCCTTTTTCTTCTGTTGATTAGGTTCCAGTTAAAGGTGAGATCGTATGGTATTTGTCCCTTACCTCCTGGTTTATTTCACTTAGCACAGTGCTCTCCAGGTCCAATGTTTATATACTCAAATTTCATTTTTATGCAAAAGTTTTGCTCTTATGACATGCTTAGAAAGTGAAAAAATTTAGGAAAATTCAAAATTATAAATATTTATCTAAAGCTGTATGCCAGTGCTTTTATATTTGTATTTCTTAATACTTAAATTTTTATGGTCTAGGATTCATTTTGGAATAAGGAGAGAATTCTAGTGATGGAATTTTCTTTTCTTCTCCAGCTGCTTAATCAATGGTCTCAACTCCACTGATGAGGCCACTTCTCTTGATCCCTGTTCATTTATAAGCGTCTGACACTTCTGACGACGTGGGGACGAACTCAGCGCAACGCCGTCTAGAAAGAGCTCAGTTACACAACATTGGGACAGATAGAACAAGCCCTCCGCCTCAAGCCAACGCATTCACAGAACAACTTTGGAAAGAATTGTGTAGTGCTGTTTTTCTGGAGAGTGTTTTACATCCCAATACTCCGGTGTGTTCTCTCCGTTTCCTGCAGTGTGCCATGTTATTTTACAATCAGCACAAAACATGCGTCCCTTTAAACTGCTGAGCTCGCGCACAAGGGAAGGAGGGAGCCCAGCAGGGGCCGCCGGCTTTCCTCGTGGAGTCACCGTCCTTGCCTCGGCCGGGCCGTTCGAACTTCTGCGACGTCTGCTGGCACAACTGATTTTCTGCCCTGCCGTGCCTCCGCAGCTCCAGCGCAGCCCCCCATAAGCTTCCCCAGCAGTGAGGATACATGCGGGTTTTCCTGAGTGAAGAATTACGGTGCGTTTCTAGTGAAACGGCGAACTATTCGAAACGCCACGGAGTCTCGCAGAGCGAGATGAGCAGGGAGCCTGTGGGGCCCGGTCCTCCCTCGCTCGCCCGCCGTTAACGCTCTTCTCCTTCCTCCCGCTTCCAGTTCCCAGGGATGTTGGAAATACCGCACCTTTTCACTTTGTGAATGCCTTGAGGAGTCACGCCACTTCCCTGGCGGGGCCTCAGGGTGCGTTCCCGTGTTTGCAGTTCCCCGCGAGATGCTGGGCAGCCGTGAGAGCAGAGTGGCCGGAGCTGCCCTCACCGCCACGCCCCTGTGAGCGCTCCCGCCTACGACCGTACGCCTATGATGGCTTCGTGACTACAATTTACACAAGCATACACAACAACAGTGCATGCAGAAAGGCAGCACATTAGTAGTGCATCTAGTGTCCCAGATATTGCTTGTGTTACCGTATCACTTCGTTTAAGCCTGAAAGCACGCAGAGCAGGGGCCTGTACGGCTCAGGCGCGACGTGGGAGCGATGCCAAGACGCACGCGAGGAGGGTCAGGCCCGTCCGTCCACCCCGGCCAGCTCTGAGGGTGTGGGGCCCACAGGGATGTGGGAAACCAGGACGGCCTTGACTCTGCATCAGAGCTGAACCTGCCCGGGAAGAGGGAGAGGAAGAGGAGGAGACGGAGGTGACCCAAGGTTGGGGGGATGGTGGAGCCACCCCCCAGGTGCAGCAGGTCGGAGAAGGCGGGGTCTCCGCTCTGGTCTTTTCCTGCCACTCTGCACCCAGCAGGGCTGATGCCTGGGGTTGTTTCAGCTGGGCTCCCTCGTCCCGTGGCCTCTGCGGGAACTTGGCCTTGGGCTGCACCAGCCACGACGAGAGGGTGGGGGCAGGGGACAGAGATGTTCTCCGCTCCCTGCAGGCTGACTCTGCTGGGGGCCCTTTCCTGGCGCGCTATCGGGCGCCCGGTTTACCCCTTGCCCCCCGCCCGCCCCACCCCCGGTCCGGCAGAGTAACGACCATGCTGCTGCCCACGCGGGGAGGGGACACCACCTCGCCTTTTGGTTTTCTCCAACCAAGCCCACGTCTTGAAAATGGCTCCTTTATCGAACGACTGTCCTCCGTGACGCTTGGGGAAGGAGTCACCTGCTTCCCGCAGATATTCTGGGTCACAGAAAGAGAACGACAGATGTGTTTGTTCCCTACGGCTGCTGTCACAAATGACCCATGACCTCGCTGACTGTAGCTCGCAGGTCAGCTTCTTTTTCCAGAAATGAATAAACGTGATATTTCAGGACACCTTCTCTGTGTTTAATTGCATGTGTTTGTCCTTGGGTACACACTGGAAAGAACTGAGCTATGCTACGTACAACTTCAACTTTCTCAATGTCGCGTGCCAACTGTGTCTCGGTAAAGCTGAAATCACGCAGGGCGTCCATGTTAGGAAAGACTGAAAGAACATGCTTCAGAATGCTGACGACTTCTGGTTGGCAAAATTAGGAATAAGTCGTAATTCTGGTACTTTTCTCTATTTTCTACAATAACCATGCATTTTAAAAAAAAAACAAAACGGAAAGCATTGTTGAAACATCAAACCCAAGGAAAAAACAGGGGAGAAAAAAAGATTTCTTTCTCCTCGACCACGGAAGGCAAATTCCGGCTTCCCTTTCAAGGGGCTGACGGGGCTCACTCGTGTACCCCCAAACCACTGGGGAGCAGAGGCCTGTGTCTTCCTGGTTCCGGAGCCACTCGCTGCAGCATGGAGGCTGGGACACGGCTGGCTGGACCTGGGACAGGCACCATCAGGGGGAGGGGACGAGTGTTTGAGAGGCAGTGTAATCATGTCCCCTCTCGAGTCCTCCTTCAGCCGCTAGGTGCTGGGTTGTACAGTGTCCCTGCCTCCCCCTGCCCTTGGAGGTCGGTAGATGTAATCAAGTTAAAATGAGATGATACTGCATTAGGGTGGGTCCTTCTCCAAGCGCTGGTGTCCTTATCAGGAGGAAATTGGGAGACAGACCCACAGGGAGAGCCGGAGGCAGAGACGGAGGTGATGCGGCCACGAGCCAAGGGCTGCCGGCAGCCGCTCGGTGCAGAATGGGCTCTTCCTCGGCGCCTGCAGACCTGTAGGCGCAGGTGCTCACCTGATGTTCGGGGCACCCAGGCCGTGGCACCCCGTCACGGCAACCGCAGGCAGCCGGCACGCGGCACAGTGCGGAGAGGAGCTCGGTGCCCTGTGCGGCCCTCCGGGGTCTACACGCAGAGGCGCCGACCTCGGTCGTCAGCGAGAACGCGGATGTCTCCCCTTCACCGTGCTGCTGGTCGCGGTAGCTTGGGGAGGGGCGGCAGAGCTGGGCGGCCGGTGGCTGGAGGAAGGGCACGAGGGAGATGCGCCGAGAGAGAGAGGGAGAGGGAAGGAATGGAGGACACTTTCTCGAAGCACAGATTCACTCAGGGGTCGTGCAAGCGGCTGTGGGTACTGTCCCGAGCCGTGTGATCAGCCCTTTGCCGCGTGACACAGAATACAGGTGTCAGCGCCTCTTCTCACACAAGCCTAATTTATGTCGAGAGCCACTATATACAGACACTCTTGCACCATGTTCTCCTTTAGCTATGGCTAGCAAAGTCATTCTCTTCTTGGAGTTTTTGACAAATGGAGCACTTGAGCTCTAAGCCGATAATGAAGTTTGTCAACCGATCAGAGGAATTCACAGCGGCAGGATGGAGATTCCAGAAGTATCTTACAAGAAGGAGCCTTTTTCGACGGATTTTCACTGGACGGCAAACACCAGTTTCAACGTGGCTGCAGCTAGATTTACATATAATTTCACTCTGACGGCAAATCAAGGAGCCTAGAAACTTCCCGATGGTCATACACGGTGTGTGTGTGTGGGGGGGGGGGAGTTATGACAAATGGTTGCTCCAGAGGAAAGACCGTGGTCTGTTGAGTGCGGGTCTCTGCTGCCCATGAACCGCGGCAGCTATTCTGGAAAGACACATGCATTGCCGGAGAAGAGGCAAAAATAGATCCGTTGTTATATATAGAAAACTAATAATTAGTTGGGCAGAAGAATTCTAGCCAGTTCTTCTAGTATGCTCTACTTACGAAGGCCTGGGCAGGTCATGTCAAGAAAAATTATTCGTGACGTTTGTTAAAGAAGAGTTGGCGAACTTTATGCAGGAGACAAGGAGAAGGTGGGTCAATGCATGAAAACCTACCGAAAGGAAGGGGACGGTGGGGGGATGAGGGGCATGGCCAAATGGTTTGTTTGGGCAGGAACATGCCCCTGGGTTTCCAGAGTCCCAGCTCCCTCCATGACCCCATGGAAAACGTCCAACCGTGGCCTCAGCGAGGCCACAACAGCAGCCAGTGTCCACGGTCTCTGCTTCGTACTGAAGCCGAGTCCCTCGGAGCCCACGCAGTCTGCCGTGGGCCCTGGTAGCTGCTGGGCCCACACGGGAGCGTGCTCCTGGGGGGGGAGAGAGAATGCCGAACGAGTGAGGTGAGTGCATTGGCAGGTGGGCAAGAGAGCTTCTTTGTTCCCCCGGAATGAGATTAGCCTGCGTTTAGAAGGGACCAGGTGCCTTTTCAAAGAACCAGTCAACCCCCCAGGCTTTCGTGGGCTTTTATAAAGGAGGTTTAGACCCCTGCCTTAGACTCACAGGCCTCGCTGGTCCAGCGCCTCCCCGAGCAACGCCCCCAACAGTCTGGTACAGGAGTGGGGAGGGGAGGGGTATCCATTCCCTCGGAGGAGCAGCACCGTGGTCCCCGGGGTGCGAAGCTGTAGTGTTCTGGTGAGGCCGACAGGCTCCCGCTCCCCAGTTTGTTAAGCTCCATCTCTCATTCCCTTTGCTCTCTGTCCTTGATTAACGTCTAGCCACCTGCCTACGGCAACACTGTCACCCATTTACTGGAAAGGAGGCAACTTAGGAGCCGCCAAGAGGAAGGAGTGCAGAGCACTGGGTGTGGGGAAGGGACTGGGAGCTTCCACGCCACCTCCAGGGGCACCGCCCTCCCGGCGCCTCTGTGTCAGCACCCACCACCCAGAAGTCCTCCCAACCCCATCACAGAAGGCTTCTATGGGGCTTCATTACCTAGGCGTGGTGGATTGAAACACTGGCCATTCGTGATTAACTCGACCTCCAGCCCCTGACTTCCTCGGAGGGTGGGGACAGCGGAAAGTTCCAACCCTCTAACCACGTGGTTGGTTCCCCTGGCAACCAGTCCTCAGCTCGAGGCTGTCCAGGAGCCCCCGGTCATCTTGTGAGCACACAGAAAGACATGCATCCCTTCAGATGGGCTCCGAGAATTTTAGGAACCGTGTGCCAGGAAATAGGGAGAGAGACACAATATGTATTTTTCTTTTTTTTTTTTTTTAAGATTTTACTTATTTATTTTTAGAGAGAGAAGGGAGAAAGAGAGAGAGAGAGAGAGAGAAACATCAATGTGCGGTTGCTGGGGGTCGTGGCCTGCAACCCAGGCATGTGCCCTGACTGGGTATCGAACCTGCGACATTTTGGTTCGCAGCCTGCATTCAATCCACTGAGCTACGCCAGCCAGGGCTTATGAGTTTTGTTTCCACTGGCAAGAATCAGAATGCGTTTCACATTGTCCTTATCACGTTGTCTCGCCACCGTTGTTTGCGCTCCGACGCAGTTCTGTGTGTGAGGGAAAGAGGTGGACTCGGGGTTGTCCCCAGGCACCCGGGGGAGGTTCTGTGCCCGCCCGCCCACGGAAGTCCCGTGCAAAATGATCAGGCTGAGACCCACGGCTCGGAGGTCCCGTCGCTGCTCGTGGAACGGGACACTGGGCGTGCAGTTTCTATTCGGAACAGAAACGCGGAGGTCACGACACGGGTTCCTCTGAACAGAAGCCTCACGGGGGTGGCGGGGGTGGGGTGGCGGGCAGGGGGACGGGATGGTGTGTGTGAACCGGGACGAATTACTCTCTCGGCTCCGAGGCTTTTTTCCAGGAAACTCACCACCACGGCTCCTCTCGGCGGCACGTCCGACGCTCCGTTTGTTCAAAGGTATTGATGATGATAAACTGACCTCGGACGAAAGGTTTATGGCCGGGGTAAATCTATTGATCCTGGTCTGGCCGGCCTCTTGAAAGCACGACGTTATTTTCAGTGAATTGATTGTGTCTGGTTTGGGAAGGCTTTGTGCAGTATTCGCCTTGGAGTATATTTGAATAATCGATCGCAATCTGTATTTGTTAATGACCTTTAACTGAACTGTCACTGACCTGGGTTGAGCCGCAGAGATCAATTCTGTGGACGGCCCATTCGTCTTTGTGCCTTTTCTAAAATGCTTGGTGTTTTTCTCCATTCGGATCCTCCGTGAGGTGTCTGACTCAGAAGCCAAGGATCCCGGCTCGCCTTCTGTGCGTTAAAGTGGAGTTTTGATGGGTAGGGTGGGTGCCTCACAGCCCTGGAAATCCCACATGTGGGCATGACATGCTCCCCGGGGGGTGTCGGGCATTGGAACTGGAGGCCAGGGAGCACCAGGTACCCCGAAGGTGGCCTACCCCCTTACCCCTCAAATCCGGTCCACTGATTTCAGTACGAACACCTGTTACTGCTGTTTCCCGCATCACCTGCACAGGCAGCCCAGGTGCGGGGAGGCACGGCCACGGTGCTGATAGGCCTCTGTCTGAAGCTGGCGACTGCAGAGGGCCTGGTGCAGGGGCTTCCAGCTCCAGAGATGCCCGTGACCGAGGCGGCAAGGGCTGTGGTTACAGTGGGGGCCGGGGCAGGGGGGGCCTGCTCCAGCCCTCCGGGAGGCATGGATGGAGACATTCAGGCAGAGGGTCCTACCACCCCAGCAACCTCTACATCCAGAATGAGCCTGGGGTGGGGTGGTTGGACTCAGTGCCCGCAGCACCGCCGCCGCCCCCACCCCCGCAGCAGACGCACACCAGAGCTCCCGTCGTGCCCTGTCTCCCAGGAAACATGGCTGCAGCCTCTGAAACAACAGCAAAAATGAAGGCCTCACGCCCCCCCTTGTCTTCTCGTTCTCCTCCGAACCCACCCTTAACGTGCTCACTTGTGCAGAAAAGATCCCACTTCTCAGTATGGTCGCATCCTGAGGTCCCGGGAGTTGGTGGGGAGAGGGTCATTGTTTTGTGGTGGTGAGAGGGTTGCACAATTCAACCCACGACGAGGGACAGATTGAAGAGAATCCTCCAGGGGGGTGGAGGCCCAGGGGCGGGGGCTCCGGGGGAATGGCCAGAGAATGCTTGGCAACAGCGAAGTCCGACAGCACCTTTGAAGGCCTCCTTAGGTCTACTCCACAGTCAC